ACTTCAGCCACTTGCCATCCGACATCACATTTACAAATCTCAGGGCTGATACAGGTGCCGTGTGGGCACCCACTGGAGCAGAATGGATTGCAGTTATACGGATCTGATTTTGTATATCCTTTTGCACAGTGACACGTTTCTGGTGCTGCACATGTTCCGTGTACACAAGGCTTGGAACAAATCGGTGTACATGTTTTATTTGATGATCCCCGTACTTCAGCCACTTGCCATCCGACATCACATTTACAAATCTCAGGGCCGATACAGGTGCCGTGTGGGCACCCACTGGAGCAGAATGGTTTGCAGGTATAATTATCTGATTTCGTATATCCTTTTGCACAGTTACAAGTTTCTGGTGCTGCACATATTCCGTTTACACAAGGCTTGGAACAAATCGGTGTGCATGTTTTATTTGATGATCCTTTAACTTCAGCCACTTGCCATCCGACATCACATTTACAAATCTCAGGGCTGATACAGGTGCCGTGTGGGCAACCACTGGAGCAGAATGGTTTGCAGGTATACGGATCTGATTTTATATATCCTTTTGCACACTGACAAGTTTCTGGTAAAACACACAGCCCATTAATGCATGATCTTGAACACACCGGCTTACAATCGAGTCTGGAAAATATCACATTAATTAGTAATAACCCCTGTAAGTGAGATTACTGGAGGAATTAAGTGTGGGAGAGCCATGCTTCGGCACGAATGGGCCGGCTCGACCGGAGTGATACCACGGCCTCATAGAAAACCGACGTGAAGCAACGCTTGCGTTGTGTTTCGTCGTGTGAATGAGGTTACCGGAGGCCCAATTACCCTCCCCTTCCCCAATCTCCCCAATCCCTGTATCCCCAACGATCCTCAAACTCCTAATACCCAAAAGGCCGGTAACGCATTTCTAACGCCTCTGGTGTTCCAGGTGTCCATGGGTGACGCCGATTGCTTACCAACGGGTGATCCGTCTGCTCGTTTACCAGCTTAGGCCATAAAAATGGCCTATCTCTCCCAGATTTGCCCTCCATCTCTAATTCTCAATACCGAGCAAAATGATCGGTACGGACTTGTAACTACTTTGGTGTTGTCCATAAGCGACGTCGATTGCTTACCAGCAGGTCAGGCTATAACTGATTAACGGTTTTGACTGTCAGTACATAAACCATTGTTGTAACATGGTTCATGTACTGGCTAATGTGAAATTATTGTTTTGAGTTGGGAGATGGGTTATTTCAGTAATATTTGACTTTTATATTGGTTTATGTTTTGTTATGCGTAATTGATGTGTAATTATTGATCTATGTAATTGATTGAAATAAACGGTATTAATATTTTTAAATAAATTGTACCTACAATGTCAAATCGTTCTTAAATTGCATATATGTATATTACAGTAATAATAAAAAGTTTCACTATAAGTGTACTTTTTTTTAAGGGGGGAAAATCATCGAATGACTGCTCCGCCTGGGTGAGGCGGGAGGAAGTGTCAAACTCTTACTGACTAAAAACCACCCCGTTCCTTCTCCTGCACGTCGAGCCGGAACCCCGGTTACCCGTTAGGTTCTCCGCGACACTATAAGTGTACTACGTATTTGAATTTATTCTCCATCATTACTGTAATAGATATGCATTTTACGTACGATCTGACATTGTGGGTACAATTTATGTATTATTATGTATATCTTTACCATTCACGGAACCACAGGGTACCGGTCATTTGGGAGGCTTACGAGGGTTCGAAGCCAACTGCGCAGACGCCCTTTACACAACTTTAATCTAAATGTAATGGACACACAAACCGGCGACTATCCCTGTGTGCACTATGGAAATGGACCCAAGGACAGTTCCCGCTTAGTGTAGAACTATTATGGATAATGAAAAAAAAAGGTAGGGCTATGGATGAGTTTCTGTGGACTGGTAAATTGGGAACTATGGATGATTATGGCACCTGCCGAAACGATGTATGTATTACACGGAAAAATTACTGGCGGAGACTCGCCAACTCACCAACCGGGCCCCGGGAATGGTAGCTAGATATAGCAACAGAGGAGCAACGGGAATGTGAGTGGCTGAAGGGTTAAGAAACTACCACCGCTTTCTACTCAGATCATCTGCTCCAGCCGAAGCTTCCTGCATCCCTGGCCCACTCGCGACTTACGAATAGTTTCTTACCCTCCGAGCAGGACCACCGCTCTCGCGACTCCACTCTGGACGGCAAATGAAGGCAAGCCAGAGGTGGGCGACCTATTCCTTGTCATCGTTCACTCCAGCCAGCCAATTAAAGGAAGCCGGAGAATAAGGAACGGTGACTTCTCCCTGGAGCACTCGGGATGATGGTAGCTCGCGGGGTCGCTAATGCCCGTCACCTCGCCTCAAGGTGCCCTGCAGGCCCTCAAGGTGCCCTGCGGGCGTGTACTTACGTATTTGAAATTATACTCCATTTTCTGTATCCAGGACAACAATCTTGTACCATACGGGTGTAACTTACCTGAAATTAAAAAGCATTGCACTGTATGTTGGAATAAGAGATATATATTTTAAGATTGTGGACTTTAGTCGAGTAATACGTTATTCGATCTGTAATGGAGCTGTGGATCTGTAATTCTTTCCATCTAACGATGAGTTAATACTCTTTTGAAGAACTCCTGATCTATTTAATTTCCTGTGGAGCCATGTTACTAAGCTGTTTTAAATAACATGGTTCCGCGTAGTCCCTGGTTAATATTCAAATTCCGAAAATAAGACTACTATCGAGGATGTTTAAGAAATAAAGTAAAATTATGTAAAAATATAAAATTTAATAAAAATTTTATCTTATGTGTGGCATCTAAATAGCAGGCATCTGCAACGACTATCAGAGGCAAAATCGGCGCTTGAATGAGGTAAATCTTACGGAGGCCATACACGCTAGGTTATGCATGATGGTTATAACTTTACATGCAAAACCGACAAGCATAAACGATAATGATTCCGGTTTTGAAAATTTGAGACTTGGGGATGGGGAGGGATTGATCCTTTTATGAAATATATGGCATCGTGAAGCAACGCTGGCGTTGTATTTCGTCGTGTGAGTGAGATTACCAGAGGCCCAGCTCCTTTCCCCCTTCCTTCATCTCCCCAATCCCCGAATCCCCAAAAATCCTCAAACTCCTTATCCCCAAAAGGCCGGTAACGCACTTCTAACGCTTATGGTGTTCCAGGTGTCCATGGGCGACGCCGATTGCTTACCATCAGGTGATCCGTTGGCTCGTTTACGGCATAATTATGCCATAAAAAAAATCGTGATTAAGTTTATTACGGCTAATCCGACTCATTTACTTTTGTTTAAGCGTAGATATCCCACGTGAGGAAACGTTTCTGGCGTACAGACTCGGTTCCGACAAAATCAAAGCTCTCTCCCTGCCAAGATTTTCCCGATACGCTACAATAAGGGGTTCTTCAAGAAAGGAGTAAATAGGTTTCTAAACAGTCGGCAAGGCGCATGTAATACTCCATGTGTTGCAAGCGTACATAGGCCACGGTAACCACTTACCATCAGGTGGGCGACTTTTCTTGCCACCGCCCTGGTATAAAAAAATGAAAGCTTTCATTTTGTCTGTTTCGGAATCGAGTCTTTTTTGCAGTGCACTATAAAGATACTTACTTTTCTTCTCTCTCCACTTCTGTAACTGTGTATCACATATTTATCGTCGCAAAAAAACCAACAATCGGGATCTTCCTCCCAATTGCCATACGTCTCCCAGTAAGTCACATATTTGTAATTATAATCCCTGAAAATGAAAAATAACTTATTTAATAGACAACGTAACAGTTTATGGTCGGTAAGTGGAAATATTAAATGTTAAACACAAATTTTACCAATATTAAATAACCAAACGAACTTAACTAAAAATCGCGGGTTAGTCACGTCACGTACATATACTGAGAAAAGTTCTAGTAGTTTCGAACCATAGAGGGGTTCTTCCTCATGAGTGTGTGTGAGTCATCGGCAGCAGCTGAACATGTTTGTGGTACGGATACGGCTCACAGTTTAATAAGGTCTTCGTTCCGAGAAAAGTGCGAGAGGCCATCGAGATTAACCAACGTCCGTGCTTCAACAGGGATGGTGGCTGGGCACTGCCACCCGCGTGGAAGCCGAACTTGAAGTCTACGTCCATCCACAGCGTCTCCAGTCTGGAGTATGACACAGTAGGCGTTATATGTAACACTGACTTTTTGCCGACCCGGAATCGAACTCACTAACCACGCCATTGGTGAACGTCACAGTACATTCAACATCATCGCACGTGCCACCGCCGGAGTTGACAGCAAACACGCGTGTTGTCCTCGCAGCGCAAGTAACAACAGGGATGCAAGCGCCAATGCTAGCCAGTTGGCTGCACGACATCGCCGCGAGGAAGAACCCCTGTGTAGTTCGAAACTAGTAGAGCGTTTCTCAGCACATTGACGTAAGTAACTCGCGATTTTTAGTCAATTTAGAATGTCTCACGATAGTTATTATAAAAACAAACCAAACTAACTACTGTGATTGTTTCATTAAATCCAGGAATTGTACAGATTCTTTGTTTGACAGTCGCAATTACGAACCTACGCAATTATTACCTTACAAATTAATTACAAGGTAATTCAAATTAGTTAACTTATTAGAAAAGTATCTACTACAGGGATCGGAACACGGTTTACCTATTTTTTGAACCGTTATCGCCTTAAATCCCTAAAAGCCTGCTTTAGACGTCAACGGTTGCATCTAGACACGTCATCGTCGCCGTCGGTAACGTCGGTTGCATCTGCCGACGTGTAGAGCAGGCATACAACGTGAACAAGCACGTTTGTACTTACACCACAACTGTGTTTTGTGCATGCATTTTTGAAATGTATCTAAAACAAGCTACTTGCTCGCGGTTCCACCCGCTCTGCTCGGCTCCGTGGTCGTAGCGAGATATTTTAAAGCCCATAGCCTTTCTCGATAAATGGACTATTCAACACAAAAATAATTATTCAATTAGAATCAGTAGTTTCGGAGATTAGCGCGTTCGAACAAACAAACAAAAAAACAAACTCTTCAGCTCTATAATATTAGTATAGAAAAACTTAGTTATTTAAACTTTCCTTTTAAGGTCATACACTGCCTATAACTAAATAATATTATAATAAACCGCGTTTAATTTTGTTGTTCTGTAATCTTATTCAGTTTAGGTATTCTTTCTTCTTCTCTAAATATCCTTAGGCTAAGGCTTCCTTGCCAAAATACTCTCCTAGTTTTCCGCCCTAAACTTTGTTACATATTCCTAAACATAGCATAACATCGCATAGGCAGAGGTGCACATTACGGCACTTAATGCCACTGTACAATGTAACACCCACTTTTCACTATTTATGTTATGATTATGAGTCCCATGTAATAAGGGGTGAGCCTATTGCCATATACCGGGCACATTTCCAGACTCCGCGCTACTACTAAGGTTTTTACAAACCTAGTAATACTTTGTCCAACCCGGGAATCGAACCCGAGACCCCTTGCCCGGCAGTCGCACTTGCGACCATTCGGCCAATGAGGCAGTCCTATATTCCTAAATGTTTGTAAAAAATCACATTATCCATTGGTGAAAACCGTACGACAATCCCTCTGATAGTTTTTGAATTTCTCTCGTATATACAGACAGACAGACGCGAAATGGAACATTTTTTTAACTCGTGTATTTAGAATTTATTATTCATATTACGTATTATTCCATATATTTATTTAACACACTCGAAAATTACATTTAATATAAAAAAAATATTTAAATATGGGTCAACCGCTAACGAGTTAAGAGTCCAAGCGGTAGCTTGGACTCTTAACTCGTTTTTTCTTAACCCTTAACCCTTAACACCGGTAGGTGTTAAGGGTTTCTAAGCTGATGCCGATATGGAGCCGCGGAGAACGTAAACGGTTACCGGGGCTGCGGCTCGAAGTGCAGGTGTAGGAACGGGGTGGTTCTTAGTCAGCAAGAGTTTGACACTCCCTCCCGCCTCACCCAGGCGGGAGACGTCATTCGATGATTATCCCCCCTTAAAGAAATGGTTCCAAAGGTCACTATTTTCTAAACCAATAATATTATAAAGATTTGTTTGTTATTTTGGTTTGTTTATTTACTTTGAATAGGCTCCGAAACTTCTGAATCGATTTGAAACATTCTTTTACCGTTGGAATCCTACATTACCTCTGATTCTCTGATAAACATAGGCTATTTAATAAAACATAAAACCAAATTATGCCTGAAGTCATTATTTTATGCGGATGAAGTCGCGGACAGAACAGCTAGTAATTATTACATAGTTAGGTACTTACAAAACAGTTTTGGTGCAGTACTTTTTACTGTCACCACGAGCAGTAGTAAATATTTGTAAAAACACAATAAACCACAGTGCGGGCAGATTCGCCATCGTCGTCGCTTTACATACGAGAAACAACTGATAGATACTGTCGTTTTTCTGAGCTTCATTTGCTATCACTGCCCTTCCTGCCACAAATCTGTTACACAATCAATAGTCACAACCTTTTTCAGAGAGTGGGCATGTGTTTATAAAATTAAACAGGTTTATTGAAATAACTAATAAAATTCTGCTGTGCCACTTACATATATCAAAAACACCTTCTAGTAGTCATATATAATATTATACTATATACTATGTATTTACGTGAATAATTATTAATGAAAATCAAGGAAAGTGAAATAGCCCTTGCATTGTGTTTCATCATTTCTATTTCTATAACTCTTTATGGTCCTCTTTACCAAGTTAGCACGTAACAGGTACTTACCAAATTGACAAACTATAGCTACATGATAAACAACAATAGGTTTACAACACAGATTCTACATTATTTTTTTATTATTAGTATTTATTTATTTAATAATAAATGTACATAATATGCCTTACAATCTAACGCCATGTCCAACAAAACTATATATAAACAGTTTGACTGTTGGATCTTCTATATTTGTTTTAAATTACTATTTATTATGATAATGGTTATAATTAATTTTAAATACATATAGTTATAGTAGTGTGCTAAACAGTAGGTTTAAGTAGTTTTAATTGGTGTGTGTAGTTTTAAGGTTGCCGTAAGCTAAATCCTCCCGAGGGTCAAGGGAGATATACCGTAACAGGCGTTGCACCATGGGGCTCCGGAGCAAGTCTATTAGAGGACCCTGTGCCCCCTACAGGAGAAGATGGTGGCCACCGGGGTGGTTTTTGTGAGGTGAGAATCCCACACTCCCTCGTCTTTCTCGTGAAAAAGTTAGGCGCCTTTTAAAGGTCATAAAAAACAATCAATCCGGGTGGATAAATGAAAAAGATGGCTTACCTTCTTTTTCAGCCCATTTCTTCTAAATCTCAAATCCCCAAAAAGTCCACAACGCACTTGTATTGTAACTCCTAAAAAAGTAATTATGTAACTACTGATTTGATGTTCAAAATACCTAATGTTCTGCTTAGCTACCTAGATGTAAATAACGTAGTAGAAGTAAATTTAGCTGATCTTGACTGGTGCATGTCAAAATTAATATTAGGTTACCCACCACGTTATATTTTTTTTTTGCATCGATGAATAGTGCATCCTATTCGCTATAATTATAGTTTGTTACTACTATGACGAAATAGTCTATAATCAACAGAATCCGCTTTACCAAAACACAGGATGAGTGATAATATTTTATTTCATTACAGCGGAGGAAAGTTCTGGAAACGATCATTCAACTAGTGGTGAGGATTTTAAGGTCAAATCATTGAAGTAAGCACGTAAACGTAAGCCTGCCGGGCCTGCTGAGAAAGGGTGCTTTTTCTTCTTCGGATCGTCGTGGAAACTAAAATTACACCAGGTGATGACGGTAGACCTGCTCCATATAGAGTAACTACGTAAAAAATTTAACAATTAATTGACATGGAACTTGTTTATTATTTAGGTTGCAGTTAATATCATCATTATCACTTTCTAAAAATAAATATTGAATGTGTAATGTAATGTATAGCTCTATTAAATATATCTATTTAGTTAGCTGTACGATATATTGGCGTTCCATAGCCTCTGCCTATCCCATGGGAGATCCGAGGTAGGCGTGAGAATATGTTTGTATGTTAACTATGTTACAAGTTACATCTTCCTGTGGTAGGTATATCTCGGGTATTTCCCTTTCAAAAACAACTTTTGCTTCTGTTCAGTCAACACAGTCTGTTATTTTTGGTAGATAAGTACCTTTTTGTTTTAGTTTAAATTGGCGTTTGACTTTATTGAACAATACATAATTAATATGAAGCATTTATACAACATATCTACGTACATTTCGGCCAGGGTTGCAGACTGAGTGAAATAAGTAACCGCAATCCCGGCTTGGATTAGTAAGGGATGGTTTTTAGTCAGTAAGAGTCTGACACTCTATAAACGAAAGAAGTCATTGGATGATTTACTACCGACAAAATAAAAGTGTAGGAGGGACAGATATACCGATTTACACTTTATCCTCCAGAAACAATAATTTATAATTCACATAAAAAATTGTAAGTACCTATACCATGACCCGACATTGGCTGACTTTTATAGAACCTGGGTTAAGTCTTGGTTCAGTGTACCCGTGTAATCAAATAACTATAACTTTAATTTAGATGATAATGAATTTGAACATGCGTTTAGATTCATTGTCATGCTATATGTACTTGGTAGGTACTTGTTCTCTTACTCAATAAACCTTGACCTATTTTGGTGGATAGGGTTAGTTATAGAGACAGAAAAATATTTTTTGGTTTGCTCTAAACTCTTTCCATATTCGAAATATCACATATTTAATATAAATTGCCATTCCTACTTCTACTGCTAATCGTCGATTAGGTTTGGTTCGATGACTGTTGACGATTGGTTTTACCTTCATTAGATGAATAATAACGTAATGTAACGTACTGAGTAAGATCACTTGAGATATCGTATTTACCGAAAATCCTCAAAATTTATTTATACAAAATTAGTCTATTTTTTTTAATGTGTGACACTACGAATACTGCGTACCACATTTAAAACGTTCATAAGGTTTTTTATATTTCAAAGATGCACGAGTGTCATAAAATTATTTACTTGGTCACACTTCTCCACTCTTAGTTTCACTCACTGTCAGTGTCAATGTCATTGTCAAAAATAAAGATTTGTTTGCTCAACCAAATCCAATACATACACAAGAAAACAGCGAAACAGCTATTTATATGAAATTTTAAATGAAAACTTGTTTATAAAAAAGTTATTACCTAATGACCACTAAATAAGTATACATAATATCTAAATTGTCTCTGAACCATGTGTTTAGTGTTTTATTGAAGAAGACAAAACTTATTAACTTATTGACAAAAATGTAGATAGTTAAATATTTGAAAACAAATTGTGTGTTAGAACTATAAGATATCTGTAGAGGTAATATTATTTTTGCTTTACTATGGAGGAATTTATTGATATGGTCCACCAACTGCCCTGTTTGTGGGACACTGGCTGCCGTGATTACCGAGACATGAGAAAGAAAGAGTTAGCTTGGAAAAGAATTGTGACTCAATTGAAATGCGACGATATACCTGATGGTAAGTTTGGTAAACAGAATACTCACTGACTTGTTTAATTACTAACCAGCTGTGTACACAATATCCATTTTTTTTTAATAAACTCAAGTTTGACATTTAACAGCAAAATTGTGAACCTTCGTAAATACTTCTAAATTGTATGATTATTCCGTAAAATATGAAACTTTTTTTATCAGGATGTTGTGATGTGTTTCGAATTAATGTATTACAATTGCTCACAGTAGTTATATTGTCACAGCCTTTATCCAAAGCCAAGCTTTAATATAGAAAATAGTAAAAATTGTAGTAGGTATTTTAGTTATTGTAAGTTTTGTTAAATATTTTTAGAGTATGATGGGTCTGACACGGTCTTTGTGTGACCATAAGACCTTAAATTAATAAAGATAATAAAAAAACTTTAAATTTTATTAATTACTAGATAGGTAATAATAAACTTACAATGTCTATTGAAGTAGGTACACATTTCATTATGATTGTTAATTAAACTGTCAAACACCAAGCGGTCACCAGTGACCGCAACCTATTGTTCTATAATTGTGTCTATAATGACGGTACTTGACGAGTTAACTAACAATGTTAACCCTTCAATTAATATTTTACAGTGAAAACAGCAAAAGCAGAATGGAAGAAACTGAGAGACAGTCACAGAGACTCTTTAAAAAGAGCACGAGCAATGGCTAATGGACAAGACGAAGTAATAACCAACAAATGGAAATATGCAGATATAATGAAGTTTCTATTGCCATACATGAAAACAAGGAAAAGAAAACGAAACGTTACCATATCCAGTGATGAGAACAAGGAGTCTTCACCATCACCTTCAGACTCATTGCTAGAAGCCCGGCCGTGCACATCAAACACAGATAAATTGGATTTTAACTCAGAATCCCACACTAGCCAGTTGGAATCCACATCCCTAGAAAATGAACATATGTACCGAAAGAGGAAAGTAGAGAATGATATAGGAGAAATAATGATTGATATGGATAGGAACAATAGTAGTTACACTTCAAGCAAACATCCGTTAGATTCCTTCTTTGAAAGCATGTGTGAAACCACCAAGCAGTTTCCCACTTGGCTGCAATATACAGTTAAAAGAAAAATATTTAATGTTATTTCTGAGGCTGAAGACACATTTGAAACTTACAAATCAAGAGAAACAATATTTTAATCATATTTTTTTTTCTAAATTAGTATTTATCTATGGATCTCAAATCTACAACACTTAATCAGCCAGTTGCCTGGCCACTGCATTTACCATCCAGTCAGTATTTTGGTCGCCCATTTTGATATATGGCAATAGGCTCACCCCCTATTACATGGGACTCATAACATAAATAGTGAAAAGTGGGTGTTATATTGTACAGTGGCATAATGTGCACCTCTGCCTACCCCTTCGGGGATAAAAGTTAAGAAAGTGATGTTATGTTATGTTATTTTGATATAAAAATTATTCAGTTTCAACCAAATGTACATTTAGTTTTTAAGTTACCTATATGTATTAAGTGTTTTTTTGAACTGACTGCTTCATTGGCCTTGTGGTCGCAGGTGCGACTGCCGGGCCAGGGGTCTCGAGGTTCGATTCCCGGGTCGAGCAAAGTATTACTGGGTTTTTAAAAAATCACAGCAGTAGCACGGAGTCTGGAAATGTGCCCGGTATATGGCAATAGGCTCACCCCCTATTACATGGGACTCATAACATAAATAGTGAAAACTGGGTGCTACATTCTACAGTGGCATTAAGTGCGGTAATGTGCACCTCTGCCTAACCCTTCGTGGCTAAAAAGGCGTGATGTAAGGTTATGTTTTTTATTTATTTAAGATAATTCTCAATAATTTATTATAATACCTATAATATTATAATTATTTAATTTTTTTTAAATAGTATAATTTATATTATTTTGTATTAATATTAGTATTGTATATTTATTAAAGTAACTGTAATAGAAAAGCTTCAACTCGTTTTTTATTAAGCCGTTATAATGTTTTACAACTAAATATTTATTTCAAAAAGGCAATTTTCCATTTGACTACTCATCTAGTTGAACTAGTAGTAGTTTATTAAGTGTGGGAGAGCCATGCTTCGGCACGAATGGGCCGGCTCGACCGGAGTGATACCACGGCCTCACAGAAAACCGACGTGAAGCAACGCTTGCGTTGTGTTTCGTCTTGTGAGTGAGGTTACCGGAGGCCCAATTACCCTCCCCTTCCCCAATATCCCCAATCCTTAAATCCCTAACGAACTCAAACTCCTAATCCTCAAAAGGCCGGTAACGCACTTGTAACGCCTCTGGTCTTCCAGGTGCCAATGGGCGACGCCGAACAGGTGATCCGTCTGCTCGTGTAACGGCTTATGCCATAAAAAAATTCACCGAGTGGACAGGACACTTGTTAAAAATTATGCAACAGTTCGATACTCTAAAATAAGCATAGCAATCAATGTCGGGATGAATAGTTTACTATTCCATTTTTGCAAGTAACTATTCTTTACTTTTTTTTACTAGCGTTCTAAGTACTATTGTAAATGGAGGTAAGAGGCAATTCTATTCGGAAACATCGACTTTGTTCTGACTAACTAGCATTCCAAAATTTACCACCGTCTTACCAAGAGGTAGGTATTGCACTTGAGGTCTGAATGACAACAGCTTTCACATCACATCACATCAACAGTTTATAAGTGGCCACTGCTGACCAAAGGCATCTTCTCGCACGGTGAAGGTTAGAGCACTAGTCACCACGCTTGCTCAATACGGGTTGGCGATTTCAAACTTTTAATTCGATAAAAAAAATCATCGAATGACTGCTCCCGCCTGGGTGAGGCGGGAGGGAGTGTCAAACTCTTACTGACTAAAAACCACCCCGTTCCTTCTCCTGCACGTCGAGCCGGAGCCCCGGTAACCCGTTAGGTTCTTCACGACAGAAATTAGGTATATGCCCAGGTTTCCTCACGATGTTTTCCTTTACCGTTTGTCAGTGGTGTGTAAATAATCTTAGAAAGTACATGTGACTCGGAAAAAGTCACATTGGTAGGTAGGTACTAGTTTTTTGTAGGTTTCAGACTATACTAGACTAGTTTAAACCACGATATTAGCGGGAAGTTGCGTCTTTGGTCTTCCACTTCGTGGTCGCTACATAATTCCTTTGTAGCAATTTTTTTGTCCAATCATCAACTTAAAAAATGTTTATAAGCTTGTTGGTGCTCATATGTGATATTTTATTATTTTATCACTTATTATATCCGCAACTCATGTTCGTCCTGAAACGGATGTGTAGTCATCAATGCACTATATATTACTATTATATACTAATACATTACATGAAGTCCACATGACGCATTTTGTTTTTTTCCGAGTAAGTATGTGACCATATTGTAGATTTCATCCCGGAAATTTCTCTTAAACTAGCTTTTAGAAGGTGTCTATCATGTAGGTAGGCAATGCTTGTGCGAATTTGAAAGGAATATCGGAATAAAAAGTGACTTATTTAGAATTAATTGAACTTACGATTTACCAGGCGACATGGTGGCCGAACATCAACCTATCATGTGTAGAAAAACAAGCAAGCAAGGTTCTAAATCGATGTCTTTGAGGGAGGGTTTTTGGGAAAATGTTCACTGATAAAAGCTTCGTCACCCTACCACTAAATAGTACATACATTGAAGTTGGATTGTACATATACGTCCCACATCACAAATGTTCGCGATTATAAGTAGATATCTAATTATGTACATTTATAAATAACCATTTACCATTTGCTCGTTGTCCTAATCGTCTAAAATATGAAAATGCGTGTTAAGTGTAATCCTGTTATATTTTTGTGTGCTGTTGCTTATTTTGTGGCTGAATTGGATGCACAAATCTGCCAACGTGTTCAACTGTAAGTACCTACTTCGACTCTTTACTTATGTATAATACATAATTATTGAATCTAACACTTTAGACACGAGTTACTACTTTATCCACGACCATAAGTGCTAGGCTGTACTAAAGCTTGTTCTAATTGGAGAGTGCAGGACGTCCACCCACAAAGCTGGATAGATAACCTGATCGCAAAAAGCCAATGAACTCAGGTTGTTTCTATGCTGCCGAACTGAAAGTCCCTGAAGAGGCTTATGTTTAGCGTCTTATGAAGCTCATTGAAGATGACGATGAAGATAAAGTGGGTATTTTGGATAAGCTCGACATAGGCTTGGGTTTGGTCAAAAGTGGCTGTAGAAATTCGTATCGTTACCTATATCGATTGATTATGTCAGTGATTAGGAATAGTCTTGAAGTTACTTCAAAAGCCTGTTACTATAGCGTGTCAAACCGTTGAAGGGACTTTGTTAGTTTAATATTTTTAGGAATATTAATTAGTGGGTGGTGGTGTAAAAATAATTATTGTCGTTTTCAGTGTGACGAGGATGGTGCAGGTTACGTACAAGACTTCGTACCGAATCACCTATCATGGCCGCTGCTACTACGATTGCATTTTAACCAAGTGGGTCAGTTCTATCGAACGCAAGAGTATACCGGTATGTCAATTTACAATAATTATTTTTATGTTTTTATTAACTAGTTTTCGTGTTATTTATTATACTTATTTTCAGAAAAGAGAACTGAAGCCCACAAACTTTTGTTGCACTGGCTACATCAGGAAAGATGACTCGGCTAATGATAGGTAAGGACAGAACAAGAAGTTCAAGGTTTTGGAAAGATAAGTAATAGACACGATTAGTAGGTAATGTTGTACATTTATTTTTTAATATTTTTCAGTGACATTGTATGCGAGCCAATATGTATGCCAGCTTGCAGAAATGGACGCTGCAAAACCCCAGGACAATGCGAATGTAATCATGGATATACCCAAGACCCTGAAGACGATCACAATTGCCTTCCATCTTGTAGGAAAGGTTGCCAGAATGGAACTTGCGTCGGCCCTGAAACGTGTCGATGTAACTTCGGATACACCCTCGTAAACGGCACATGTCAGCCAGTTTGCACTGATCCTTGTCACAATGGTACCTGCGTTGCTCCAGAGAAGTGTGAGTGCCTCGTTGGCTACAGAAAATCAGAGAATAATATATGCCAACCTTACTGTTCACACGGCTGCGACAATGGAGCCTGTGTGGCTCCCGAAACCTGTCAATGCCATTCTGGATGGGACTTAAAAGAGACCAAACACTTTCCATACAAACATTGCGTACCAATCTGTTCAAAACCTTGCGGAAACGAAGTTTGTGTGGCCCCAGACACCTGTGGCTGTTTGCCTTCGTACAAAAAGTCAGAAGGTGGCTGTGAACCGATTTGTTTCGGCGGATGGGTTTCGAAAAATGGTCGATGTGTCGCTCAGTGCTCTCACCCGTGTGGCAACGGCACATGTGTCGCTCCAAACGTGTGTGCTTGCCACAGTGGATATCATATGGATATTAATTATACTTTCTTGTACAGTTCCAATCCGAATGCAACAATTTGCGTACCAACATGTACTGGATGTGCAGGACGCTGTGTTGCCCCTAACAAATGTGAACTGGGACTAACATCAGAATCCCAAATTTCGTTTGATGATTACTATTACGATTATGATCCTCCTATATTTCCACGTCATGAAAAAACTACAACGTCTACTACAAGGCGTACTACAACGACAACTACCACATCTACCGCAACACCTCATCCGATACCAACTACAACTACCACAACAATGTCTACTCCCACACGTCATCCAGTACCAACTACAACTTCTACAACAACTGCTACCAGTGCTAGTCCATACTTTAACGAAACAAAAGGGGAAGAATTGAAAAGTTCATGGTAAGTGCCTACTAAATAAACTGTTCGACTGACTGGACTCAACTGCATTACGAGATTGATATTCAAGTTACAATTAATCCTTTTCTTAAGTTATTCCATAAAGATTATAATTAATCTTTATTGAAAAACTAGAGAAATCTGTGATGCAGTGTAGCCATGTGGACAAAAGTTCCTGTTCTTCGCAGACCCTAATGAATGAGGCTTCTGGCTGACGATAAAAGGGACATTATTGCATCTAACGCTTAACCATTTCATGGAAATAATAGAAAGTTGTACTGTGTGGCCGGGAGAATGGAAAACAAACCAAGTTGCGTTGACTACAAATAAGTATTGAAATAGAATATTTAAGATTTGCCATTTTAATATCGTTACTTTCTAATAGGATTGAAGAAAACTGGGTGCAGTTATTCGTACCAATATTATTAATAATCACGGCAGCCATCATTACCCTACTGCTACTAGTATGGAGATGCACACCCATTAGAACTATCTTCAAAGGAAGGAGTTATGTTGTAGAAGGTAATTTGTCATTCAATTTTTATTCTTACCGCCGTACTCAGAGTCATTAACCGATTTTTTAGGCTGCTTGTCCCTTGACGCGGAGAGGGGCAGCGGAGCGGAGAAACGAAGAAATGTAACCAATAGGATTGCATGAAATCTCCGCTCCGCTTTAGTAGAAAGGGATTTGCGAGCTAGTTTAGAAAATCATACATTTTCGGGAGCGGCGCGGCGCGTGGTAGCAGTGCGAGACGGCGAAGCGGAGCAGCCGAGTGAGCCGCCGCGGCGGGGAAGCAGGGTGGGGTGCGGGGCGGGGGTATGAGATATTGGGATAGTATAGTATACCGCTGAAGTTTGACCAGTAAGTTCGTGCGCTTTGTTGTAACGAAGAGTTTTGAAAAATGAATGAGACGAGAGAAAAGTAATATTTTAGTATTTTCCGTAATATTTCACGTATGACTGAATTGACCGACCGCCGCCCTTCACTCAAATGACTCGTTGCATAACGGGTTCCTCCGCTCAGCAATACTCCGCACCGCTGCACTGCCTCGCTCTGCGGCAATGCACAGACACAGTCCGTAACTCCGCTCCGCTCCACTGTGCCTCTCCGCGTCAATGGACAGGTAGCCTTAGCTCCCTTACGCACTAGCGATTGGGCGTTGGCCGCCTTGGCGGTTCGTATCAACAGACGCGGTTGTCGGGCTTTTTTCCCAGGAAAAAACATCATTATCGAATACAAAATTCAGTACATACTTACTAAAATAAAGCAGTCAAACCGTTTATTGGAAGAGCGGTCAACCGCACGCAACTGCTAGCTGCGTGGTTGACCGCTAGTGCCAGTGCGTGAGGAGGCTTAGCAATTGTTTTCGGAACAAAATCTATTACAGAAATAACACATCTAAAATTAAATTGGGTAAATATTAAAAAAATATTATGTCTTACATCTGGGTATCAAAGTTTCCTTGCAATTAGAATGATCGTTTAATTCAAATTGCTTTAACAAATCAGATGAACGGTTTCGGTATGTAGATGATATTGTATACACAAAAGTGTTATGTTGTCTTCCATAGTATTGTGGATAGTGCGACTTCACGTATCTAGAATTGTATAATTCTTCATGTAGGTATTAAAAATCGATCTAAACTCAAAATTGGCTTCATAACTTTGGCTCAATGTTTTTTAGGTATTGCTTGTTATGATTTTAAAGTGGTGTCAGCAGTTACTACTACTACTAATGTTGTCATTTATTTTTAGGTGATCCCGTGCAAACCGGTAATCCATCGCCGTTGGAAGACGTACAGATTTCAGATATTAAAATATAAACAAATAAATACTTACTTACTGAAATCGAGACATTTTTTCATTAGTCGCTAGCACTATCTAGATAGGTTATATTTTAATACTACTAGGTACAATGAGTCTTGGTTCTCATACGAAATTCTTCTTATTGAGATTTTTTTTTAGTTTGAAATAACCGATGCGGTGAAGGTAGGTTCTCTCACCTACATGTGACTCGTAAATTATATCATTGCATTGTTCAATAGTGGGTCTTAAATTGTATGCGGACAACCTTAATTGGTTACTGCCTTACTGGTGCCCCGGCTCGAAGCAGGGGTAGAAACGGAGTGGTTTTTAGTCGGTAAAATTGCCACTCTTTCGCTTCACCCAAGGCGGGAGAAGTCATTGGATGATTCCACGCCCTCCGCAAAAAGAAACCAAGGTATTGCCCCGAATAAAAGTCTAAGGACCTCATGAGGATGGTATGTTATGTACTTACGAGCTAATAATACACTACTGTAGCCGCTGTAGGTAGACACTTGCTCAAATGTACCACAGAATACAGAAAGTATATAAGTAAGTACCTGATTACTTAGGTGAGTATGTATCTACATAGTTATATACATAGTAAACAACCACAGGTTACATCATTAACTACTAATAGATAGGTAGCTAACTCGAGAATGACTGAACCAATTGTTATATGTTTTATTTATTTATTTAACTAGCTTCTGCCGGCGACTTCGCCCGCAATCCCGGGGATAAAAAGTAGCCTATATATTACTTCAGACCATAAATTACCTCTGTTCCAAAGGGCATTGACTAAAATTGGTGCCTTTCTTTTTTCTGGCGGCAGTCGATGATTTATGGAAAATATTATCTAGAATGTCATTACAAACGGAAACATATGGAAATCTCAGTCTGGACTGAGTTATGAGTGTTAAAAGGAGCTGGAATCAAACATTTTACTTTCGTTTTTTTATTAAAATTATTCATATTTTTGTCACAATTCCTAACTACAAATTGCGCGCCACTGTACGCCGGGCACAGAAACACCAAATCACACCACAATATATCCATATTGCCAGTCGCTAATTTTTATTACCTATTTTCTCTTAGTCGATAACTTGTGGGATGCTTCTAGGAATTGTGTCATGAAGCTTCATGAGTGTCAGCCGTGGTACCAGTGGTGGGTTGAGTAGTTGTAGCCGTCCGAACATCTAATAAAGTTTTTTTTTGCGGTTGACTCCTGATGGGAGACTCAGCTGCTTTATAGTTAGCATAATCTTTTGAAGAAAGCAAACCGTTGACTTTGTAAAGTGATGGAATATACGTCAAATGAGCGCATAATTTTTTTATATTATGTCATTATTCGAAATGCATCACTTTGTGACTGAATGACGATGTCTTTGTACAGAATCTTATTATTAACTGTAGTTAGATTATTAACAAAGTATTAACTGTAGTAAGATTAGTCACTAATCGGAAGTAGGTAAGTCGGGAGAAGTAGACAGAAAAATGATTTTTTCGTGTTTTGACGACTGTTGACTGACTGACTACTCAATCCGCTACCGACGCTGCAGCTGACAAACATAGCATTTCATGATATGGTTCAGTTAAGTATTTTGCGGGTTTTTGACTGAGAGGAAATTGATCATGAAAATCTGTCATAGGTCATAAACCGTATACATATAAATTGAACATGCTAGCCAATCAAACAAAATGTTTTTTTTTTTCTTCAGCAGTGGTCAGTTCATTAACTGACCCACTTCTGATTCCGTGGCCTTATAACAAAAATAAATAAATAAATAAATAAAAACAAATATAACAAACAAAAAAAAATAAGTAAAGAAGTCTACAATAAGCTTTATTATATTCCTTGATATCGTCTATAAACATTTATTATAAAATATTTCTGACAAGTAAATGAAGAAATATGCGTTGTGTACGGTCACCATCAACAAAATCACAGGAATTATATAGCACTATTTTCACATCTTTGAACTGATTTAACTAGGTTCGGACTGTGTTTTTGATATAAGACCCCATACATTTTTTTGTTTGAAATGTTATTCTGCATCAGTTTATCCACATTCGATCAACTGCCGCGAAAAAATGAAAAGGCACCACGCTCCATAGAAATTTGGTCATTGTCATTCATGCCAATCCCTTCAGCCGTTTTGATCTAGATCAATAACTAATGTTTGTGTATGTACACAGAAACACACAAACGCATTTATGTTTATTAGCGGTTCAAGCTAATTTCAACTAGGTATAGGTCCCACAGTTACAGCGTCCTTTACGGGCAACCTAACATTCGACAAACTTACCTACCTATATTTGCGTTTGGTACAGTAATTGTGTCTTAGGATCGAACCGCACAATCAAGTTTGTTTTTAGGATGGAATGCCAAGTACCATCGTAATCGTACAGGTAGTTTTTGCGTGATCCGAGAAGAGAGAGTTACAGACAGACAGACAAAAACTTTTCATCGCATTTATTAATTCGGTTCGGTGTCTATTTAATAACACCCCCTATTTATTTTTAAAAATGTTTAACGAACACAATTTCCAGTTCTGCAGTTTTATTAAGTACCCATCTACCAAATGTATATCTAATGTATAGAATAGATAACTACAAATGAATTTACCTTCCTCCTAAAACCAACTGTTATTTTTAACACAGTACCTACGACATTTTTAACAAATAAGATTATTTATCGAACATTTTACTTGAAACAATATTAAACAAATGTCAGTCAGAATGCTTTGTGCCTGTCAGTACGGCAAGCGGCGCGTGCGACGCGTGACGCACCATATCGTAAGCTCGACCAATCAACATCATTAACTCGACGTACCTACTCTTATACTCTTTGTTTTTATTGTTATCCTATTGTACAAGGAAGTGTTAAATCGAGTGATAAATAAAAACAGTTTTATAAAATGAATAATGAAAAATGTGAAATAATAACTGAGCAATGTACAAAGTTGTGTGATACATTGGAGCCATCGGTGTTAGAAGGTGCGCAGACGCAGCAGATCACAACTGGTTTGCCAATAAAACCAAAGGAAAACTGTTGCTACGATTGCATTGGACATTCCCTTTATTGTTGTGATTGTTCCCTCGCCTGTCATTCGTGTTTAACATGTTTCAGTATCTGTATTGTAAATCTACTTTTTCATCCTACATGACATAAAATTGGACTGAAAATCTAATAGCATAAAGATCAGAATCTGTCGGTGTTGTTGGAAGGTAATTTTTCGTATTATATTGTATTGATTGACAGTTTGTTTTTTCTAGTGTTAGTAAAAATGTATTATAGTAATGAGGTACGCATGTCGAGTGTAAATTGAAAAAAAAAACAATTCTCCAGTGAAATATCATATCTATTGCAATAGCATTTTGGTTGAGATTTAAATGTGCATTATTGTGGGCATGTACCTACACCATCTAGAATGTTTTTTCAGTATATTGACTTGGTTGTTACTATGTCTATGTCCAAAATGAACACAAACAGGGACACGATGACAGATTTATTTTCAGATACAATAAAAATAGTTACCTACCTATCAAATTATGTATTATCTTATGTATTAACGTGTTTTGATATTTTATAATGATGAAGAAATAAACTATGTTTTTTATAAAAGCTTAATAATTGTATAACTTTTATCGTATAAGATCAATAACTTATGCCAGTAGCTTCGCCCGTGTTTCCTAGATATGAAGTATCTCACGTGTACCTAATTCCAACCAATTAATGTATCTCTTTGTCAAGATTCGACAAGGACCGCAGTTCCAGATTTTGTACCATACCTAACTGAGATATTCGAAAATATAAAATTCCCTTATACTTAATTCTTCGCAAGAATCCTTAAAGGTCAAATCAATAATTATATCCGAGTAACTTGAAGATCACAAACGTACCTCCAGTTCAGAGGGAAAAGAAAAGTAAGAAAATATTTGTCTCAATAAAATAAATCATTTATTAATTGTCATAATCATCAGGTATCTCAAACACGAGCAGCTCAGCGATGTTTAAAGGTGCTGATGTTTCATCGACGGACCGTCTGATGCGTCGCACACATTTTGTCCTCCCCTTTACGCTGAAGTCTTTGTAAAATCCAGGGTGACATTGGCACATATACGGAGATACACATACTCCATTTGTACAGCCAAAGCAATGTGGCTCGCACCTGGAAAATAATAAGTTATTGGAAATTATTATAGTAAGCCTACTTAAGTCTAGGACTTAAGGGTCTTACCCTTAAGTCCTAAAATTAGTAGGATATTCTTTTGAACACTTCAGTAGTTAATTACTATGATCAGTGCGTTTACCCAAGCCGGTTGCTAAACCTTGACAGTGAACCTTTCTCTCCTGCCATGGAGTTCTTTGATCAGCAGTGGACGTCTTTCGGTTGATGGTGATGCAGTTTATGATACACTTCGTGTAATTCATATACGACTCATTATAACTGACAAAATGTGTGTCCGTTCAATCACAAGCGAGGCGAAATCATATAATACCTATATGTTTGTTAGTGGCTCGGCTAGGAGGCTACTAACTACACGCCAAAAACTTCTTCCTTTTAAAGAAAGGGGTTCTTTTCTAGTATTAGTAGATGACTATAATATACCTGGACGTGTCTCCAGCAATAGGAACGTATCCAGTGTTGCAGGAACACACATCTCGTCCGACACAGGTTCCATTAACACATGGTATGGAACACAAGAGCTCCACGGCTGACATCTGGTTCTCCTGGTAGATGTTCTGCTGGTACACTGACTCTTGATTGTACGACTGCTGGTTGTAGTTGGGGTAATACTGACTGTTAGGGTAGTAAGGCTCAGCATTATTTGGCCTTTGGTAAGGTTGCATATTCGTATTGGGTCTCTGGTCTGGATAGTACTGATTTATAGGGACATATTGGTTGTTGGGATAACTTGGTCCACTAGGCACTCCTTGAGTCGAATTGGGCGAAGGGTAAGCGGGATTAGGGCGGTGGTCTGGACCTAAATGCTGACTGTCAGGGTACATAGGCTGAGGGTTATTAGGAATATGCGTGTAAATAGGTTGACCCGATGGATTGACAGGTCTTTGTCCGTAAGGAGAAGGAGGTCGTTGAGTGTTAACTCCTGGTTGGATGCTTCCGGCACTGGTGTCATTGGATACTTGGTTACCAGGGTATGGTCCACCGGGGTAATTGTTTTGAGAGTGACCTGGGTATTGAGGACCTCCAGGGTAAGTCGGTGGTGGTCGATAGCCAGGGTAGCTAGATGGTTGATTACTCGGGTAGTTAGACGGCTGGCTACCAGGATAGTTAGATGGCTGACTGCCAGGATAGTTAGTTGGCTGATTGCCAGGGTAGTTAGATGGCTGACTGCCAGGGTAGTAAGAAGGATTACCAGGATGATTGTTTTGTTGGCTTCCGGGAGGACGTGGACTACTAGGATATGTGTGTTGTTGTTGACCGGGAGTATTTGATGGGTTACCCGGGTTGTAAGGGTATTGGTTACTTGGGTTATTAGGCTGATAATGACCGGGATAGTTAGGGTTCTGGGGTTGTTGACCGTAGGGGTTGTTTGAGTTTTGGTTGGGATTATAAGTTGGTGGTCTGCCGTAAGGGGAGCCAGAGCCTGTGTTATTGTAAGCCGGGGGGCTTGAAGAGTCCCCGCATACATTGGGAGCTATACAGCGGTTTGGTGGTGAGCACGGACTGAAAAATAATTAATAATGTTATTAGTATAGGTACCATAGAATAAACAATACCTACACGACATATTCAAAATAATTGTGATAACATCTAGGATGGATTGAATCATGTAATTAAAATGCTGATCTTGTATTATACATTATTCGTGTGTTTTTATAAAAACAAAGTAATAAATTCTTGATATACTGAAGAAGTAGGTAGTCCATAGATTTATATCATATATTGATATCATAGGTAGTCCATAGTTTTTTTTTACCTAGAGCACTGTGGGATGCAGTCACCGTACTGGTCCTTGGTGTAACCAGAAGAACAGCGGCAGTCATTAGGTCCTACACACTGGCCGTCCTTGCATCGATCACAGGAGGGCTTGCAGGATCCTTCGGGAGTAGACCTGTAGCCAGGCTGGCATTCACATGTGTTTGGAGCTGTGCAGTTGCCTGGAAGAACAATGAAGAGGTTATACCTATGTAACGTTTGGTGGGGGGTGTATTTCGTTGACAGTTTTTTTATGACGGTGACGTAAAACTTAGTTTGTATTGGTTTTCCTTCCTCTTTGTGCGCATAATCAAAACTAGAATAAATTATTGGTAACTATAAAGTGTCTTCTAGCACCAAACTATTATACAAAAATAATAACCGTACAAAAGTCTATGAATACAAGTTTTATATTTTTAGTCCAATGATATTCTAAGTCAAATTGTTTATTCTTTTTTTTTTTACTTTATCATTGGTTTAGTCATTTTGTTCCTACGTGGATCCAAAAACCAGTTACACTACAGTTTGGCTCTTAAACTGAAACGGTAATGACTGCCAATCTAAAATGTCTTCAATTACTGTCATCAATACATTGGACCGCATTGTATTGTACCTACATATTTCATAGTACGTCTGTATAAAGTTCACTAACAGCTACGATGTATTGCATTTTGTTGAATTACGAACCCTATCACAGTGTAGGACTGTACAGTTCAGTAACTTTATCAAATAGAACAAATATATAACCTAGAGGTCGTTAGGTTTTACCTACCTCTATATAAACAAACACAAAGTTTCGTGAGACATTCTAAATTATTTATTACGTTTTCGGCTTACTCACGTAACTGTTTGAGGAACTCGACTAGTTTCAAGCTGTGCTAGGGGCTCATATTAATGAGCAGCATTCCGCGATCCGTGACGAGCAGCAAAAAATCACACTAACCTCTACTAGGACCACCGCACTGCTCCCTGCAGTACGGAACACAGAATTTGCTTTCCGAATCCAGTCGGTAGCCATCTTTGCAGATGCATTCACCACCAGAACACTGTCCGTTCTGACATCCTATAGGACAGGTGGCTATACAGAAACCAGCCAAGTTCTTCACATGGTCTGGGAAGCAAGTACAGGTGTTTGGTGCACTGCAGAGTCCGTTCACACATTCTTGATTACACACTGGGTCACAGATGCGGTAGTTGTGAATGTTCCTGATGTAACCACTACAGCAACTCCTGATGCGACTCAAGTCTGGACGCGACTGTAAGGGAAATACGACTTTATTGAATCGGATCTGTGAGTAGGTTTTTGATAGTGGATTTGTAGGTGCATAATATTGTGTGAGATTTGATTGTTTTTTTTAATCTTAAGGCAATAGAAGATGATGAAGTGGTAAGTAAAAGCAGAATTAGAAAGAGAACTAAGGTTTCAATAAGATTTTACATACCCCATTACCAGCAGGAACATGAGTAGGGTCTTTGACTAGAGTGGCTGTTCTGAAAGCAAAAATAAGTAAAGTGTAGCAGTAGTGTTACGTTGACTGTTTGTTGTTATTGTTAACTGTTATGTTGTAGCAGTATCTGAGGTTGAACAAAGTATCAATTCAAAATGATTAAACATACATTTTTATACATCGTTAATAAATACACTACTCTCCACATAAAAAAAAATCCCAGGTCTTTCACGTACCTTTCAAGACCAATTCGGTTCAACCGTTCTCGAGTTTTATTGAGACTAATGAACGGAAATTCATTTTTTATTTATCGACAAAAAATTTTTTAAGAGTCTATTCTATAAAAAACTATTAATACCTACTTGTAAAAAATGTAACTGAAGTATTGATAACACTTACGGCACTTCGATGTAGCAGACTCCTATCTCGTAGTTGACGGTTCCGGTTCCTGTCAAATTTTGCCCGTATCCTCCATAGCCTTGATGATGACTCCCATTGTTGTAAAAGTTACTGTTTACAAAAATTACATTACAATTGTTTTATGTCCATATTATGTACATTTTTCCCTAATTTATACAATATACATAGTACATAATGACGTCACACAGGTTTCTAAGCAGACAGACTGGGGTAAATTATGAAAATAATGCATATTTCATCATCAACATAATTAATATCATATCGATATCATCTAAGTAAGTAAATACATCTTTCAGGAGTAATCTTGAAATTAATTCGGCACAGATATCCATGAACTGATTCGATTTTGCTAATACTTACTTGACAAGATTCATTCCCTCATGATGGTAACCATGTCCACCGTACCCTCCCTTAACACCCGCAGTCTTCGTGTACTGAGGGGTTGCGTACGCGCATGCTACCAGCAGCGCTATGAATATTAAACGCATATTGATCTGGAAATAAAATAACGATATAGAGATATAGTCACTGTAATTAGGTTTGTTTCCCGTAGTGACTGTAAATATTGTCTTTGTGACTTCTAACTTTTTTAAAACTGAAAGAAAATTATAATCGGATGCTTTGCAAGCGAATTCTTTATTTAATTACTTAGCCCTTTAACCGCCAAGATTCTGAACTTTCAACTTACCTCCAGCGCCACGTCACTTTAGGTATAAGTTGGAACAGTGTTGGGAACACTTAATATCGATACATATATTCTTTATTAATTAAAAAAATTAAAATCAATGTTTTATTACCTACTTAATAAATAATCTAAAAATTTTCAATCTTCAAACGAAGTATACGAAAATGTGTATTCGGGAAATGGGTACGGCGTCGTCCGTTCTCCTGCTGGCGACGGTGACGATGCTCCACGAGC